ATGTTCACTCCATTTTCTCTGGCTGAGGCTGATTCTGTGAACTTGAAGTGTCATTGCTTGGTTGTGTTGAAGAACCAATGGTGAAATTTTCTAAAACTTCCGGAAGACCAGCCGTTGTCACATCTGCGTGTCCAACAGCAAATACATCAGGAAGAGCATTGCGACGGCCAGTACGTCCTGTCCTTACAAAGTTATCTACAGCCATCTCACATTCTGCCATCCTTAAAGATAATTATACAAATTAATGTACATGTACCTATGTGTAAAGGCCATGCCACACTACACAAATTTATTTCAACTTCTTGAGCAATTTTGTTGTGCCTTTGCAAGTCAAATTACAGGTGGCCCAGGCTCAGTGTATATGAGAACAACAGATGTAATGTCACTCCAACAGTTTCTTTCTTCCTTTGTGTTCGGGCCACTACTACATGTATTTCTCTATAACATGGCGAACACAAAGGCAGAAAACTTGCCAGAATCACTTTGGATCCGAAGACATCATAATTTTTAGCATAAAAGAAACCATTGTGTTTCCATACAAACCTTGAAACTAAATTTAAGCCATTGGTGTCACATTATGATTGTTGTTTTCATACATTGAGCTTGGGCTACCTGTGGACAAAGACTTCCCCAATGTGCATGCATGACTTGCAACGACCGGTGCAAAGAGTAGACAACTGTCTTTCTCATGAAACACAAGTTCTTTACAATGGGTGTTACACTATAAAGCCATTCTTTTGCAACTTATGTCGGAAAAAACTGTTGCAAGAAAAATTGGCCAATGTGTCTTTTATATTCCTTTGTGAGTTAAGCGTTTTATTGCCAAATATTTCTACCCAAAAATATCACACAAATTAAGATATAAATGTATGTGTCTTTCGACGTTAATCACAAAACAAATTTATTAAAAAGCTATCATTCGTCAAAAGCCTGAGAAAGATTACGAAACTGGTCAAAATTCGAAACCAAGTTGAGAACGCATTGACAAATAAGCTGCCTAACAATTTAAGCTTACATGATTGTTGTACAGTTCAAGAATGAGTCATCGCTTGAACAAAGAAGAAAGCCTGTGCATAACAATTGTTTTAAAAACACAGCAAGGAGGCGCAAAACGCGATTCACAAGCTTAAATAATTACGATTCAATAAATCATGGATTGCTTTTTTCTGGCTGTGCTAGGTAGCAACGTTTTCAACTCTTCCACCTACTTCCAAGCAAGTCGAAGGAAAACTTGCATCACATCGACTGCGCATCAAATAAAGGTTGCTTTTCTACTCACCGATGAGCTGTCCCTCCAACGTCTGGAGCGACGAGGCAGTTCCTTCAGGCAAATCTTTAAGGTAGCCACACAATTCAAACAACAGCTACATAAACATTTCACTCCGCTTCACATGCACAGAAACTGAGAAAGAGAACAGGTCCCGTATGAGACAAAAAAAAACTTTCAGGGTGGGGTAAGAAACGTCACATTGCAAACAACCTTCAAAATGGCGGCTGTGGAAGACAGAACGAATTCCAATCCTTTAGTACAACCTCTGTTAACGGATCTTTATCAAATTACGATGGCCTATGCCTACTGGAAGAGCGGAAAAATTTGGGACAATGCCGTGTTCGATTTGTACTTTCGCAGGAATCCTTTCCATGGAGAATTCACTGTCTTCGCTGGACTAGAGGAGTGTGTGCACTTTGTGAGGAACTTTCACTTTACGGATTCAGGTAGGTTTAGTCAAATTGTCGCTGCTCGCCGGTAACAAAAGCAAGTTATTATACAAGGTATTTACGCTGTTTTGCTATCTCTTCTGAAAGTCATTGTTCCGTTCAAATGTGGCCGATTTCAGAATGCTTAATTCATTCATTATTCAGATAAGCTGGGTTGGCTTTGTTTATTAATTTAAGCTCACGCAATTTAGGCGTGTTACACTAATCGTTTGAATTCGCAAACTTACGAGTGAGCCGCTTAAAATGTCGCCTAAACATAAAGACTGGCAACCTCATGTTGGGATCAGGCAGTTTATTAGGTATAATCCTACATTATAGCAACACTTAATTTTTTTACAATCATGGAAGACTACAATAGATACAACAGTAATGGCCCTACGTTGTAGATTCCGGAAGAATACAGTGAATCAAAACTGTCTCTGGAGTGGGTGGGTGGGAAGCTCAAAGCTTCTTAACTTAATTGCTATACTGCTATTGCTCTGATTAATTTGCTGCCATTTCTCTAATGTATTCGGCTTACCATAGTCAGACAATGCATATCGAAGATTGCTGGGATCTCATTGGTACTCAACAAATCTTGTGACTTGCATGCTGCAAAGTTGCACAGTTATGACTAGACTCTGACCCTGCCCAGCTCCAAGTAGATCAAACAGTTCTCTATGTCAAGATTCATATTAATATGATTAATATTCAAGAAAAAAAGTAATTGACAATTCCAAACTAATTGAGCTTGATCAGTTTCCCACAAAGAAGGTGAACGACTTGAGAAATAAAGAAAAATTGCAATTTGAGAAGCTATTAAATAGGGGAAGGGTCGTTCTTGGTCTCACAGGACTGCTGGAATACTACAGTTTCTCTGCATTGTTTCCACTGCTTTTAGCACGGACATATTTTTATTACTCCTAAATGTTGGATGGGTAAATAGAGGAAGGGTCCTTCTTGGTCTGGACTGCTGGATTACTGCAGTCTCTTTGCATTGTTTCCATTTTTTTAGCTCGCTCATGTTTTAATGTGTTTTTATTACTCCTAAATATTGCATGGGTAAATAAAGGATTATATAATTGTATTGTATTGCCCTCCTGTGGTCCCCTCTTGGGAAGTGGTAGTACATGTAGGGTTTTTGCCAACATAGCTATTTAGTAGCTATATAGTGCTACTGATGTAACAACAGCCTCGTGTAACAAATCTCTTAGGATCATTAATTTACACATGCTAGCTCCACCACCTTGGCATGGTATGTTCAGGATGCAGACCTTGGAGCCCAGTGACAACTTCTGTAGTGTACACTGACGGATGCTTTTTGTCTTTTTGGGATATTGAAGCCCAAACGGCATCCCAGGAAGGTTTAGAAGTTCCCAGTCCTTTTGATTTGATTCAGCTGTAGGGTTCTAAGCTGTGGTTGATTTGCAGGCCTGCATATTTTGCAGAATGCAGAATGCTGAATGCACTGTTTGCTTAAGGTTAGTTTCACTCATTGAGTAAATGTAGTCAGGAGATGACATAGGCGATAAAAGTGCTATTTTTTATCACTGACTTGTATATTTCAGCAAGACGTTTTGGCCAACTCTTAAGCCTTCATCAGTTGCACTTATGTTTGCTTGGAGTTAGCTTTCAATGATATTTTGTTGGAAAGGGCCAAATACTGTACAATGTAATGCTGTCCTTTGCAACAAAACGAACCACACAGATACAAACAGTGCATTTGGTTTTCAGCATTCTGCATTTGCCATTCAACATTCTGCAAATTACTCTCTTGCCATTGGCCGACCCTAGTTACGGTCAAAATGGTTAATGAGAGCATTTTGCTTTAAAAAATCTGTGGGTAACTTTAATTTGTATACCTTACAGTTTTCTTGTAGTCAAAGACAAGAAAATTTTGTCCAGGGAGTACCAGGCTCTTCAAAGATGGCTCAGCCATATCCCCTGCATGGGAGGGGTATGGTATTTTCTGGAGAAACAATTATAGTATTACAGTTCAACCTCTATTAGACGGCCACTCTCGGGGAAATGGAAAGTGGACACTTAAGGACACCAGTGTAAAAATGTTCTACTTGAAAGATCTTCTTCAAACTTCTACGACAGACAGATAGTGAATTGCTTGTTTCAGAAATGAAAAAAAAAAAAATTGGGGGGCGTGAGCTTCATTTCAGAGATAAAGTGTGGAAAACTAGTCTGATTCAAGCATACTCAGCTGTAATAGGTGCTACAGGTTATGGCCTTTAATGACAGCTCTGATAGGGGTGGCCGTTGGGGCCTGAATAGAGGTTCAATTGTAATGTGGCGCTAATGATATAGAGAAGCACAACTGAATATTTTACCATGGATACTGCAGCTCACATTCGTCAATTAAAACTGACCTTCACACTAGCCCTGTTTGTGAGATGAAGTAACTGTTCCACAGGTTAATTAACTTCTGATACAGATAATTAATTGAAAAGATTGTTCAACTGTTTTGTTAACATTCACCTTGGTTTGCCATTGTCGATGTCTTGTAGATTTTGCATAGATGTACAAAATGTACTTTAGAGAACCCAATGTTCCATGCCATTTTAATCGTATCTTTTTCTTTGTATGTAGCTTTCTATGGTCCACTTAAAATTGCAGATTTATTATTAATAATTAACAAAACTGTACTTGTATAATTTACATGCCAACCTCACTAACTTGTCCAACCTCACTAACCCGTGACATGTACCTGGATGGCTTTATTTTCAGACATATCGTATCTCAAGACAATATTACCAGCAACAGTAGAGGAAGAGTTTTACAGTTTCCTGAGGGCAATAGATACAAGTAAAGTTACCTTGTGTGCTATGCTGGAGGGCAGTATAGTGTTCCCAAAAATTCCCTTGCTCAGACTCGAAGGACCACTGCCAGGTAAAAGCAGGACGTCACTTTTCTTTAGTTAAAATTGGTCAATGTAAAATGAAGACTGCAGACTGCAGACCAGGGGTAAAATTTTCTGAGAGCAAAATGTAGACTGCAGACTACAGACTTTTTATTAATTAGAGTATATAACATGTTATTTCAATTCATTACTGAGTGCTACATGTAACTGTAAACGGGATCATTCAGGCTAATTGCAGTGAACTTTTCCACTTCAGTTAGCCTGAATATCACTCCTATTAGCTGAGGATCACTCAGGATAGCCTAAGTACATGTAGTGCTTCAGTTAACCTGTTAATGATCAGCTCTCAATGATGGTAGCACTATTCAGTTAAAAAGTCTACTGTCTGCAGTTTACCCTCAGTCTGTGGTCCACGGTCTGCGGTCCACGGTCTGCGGTCTGCGGTCTGTATTTTACACTGACCATAATTAAAATGGGCCAGCCTCTATGCAGATACATAGAAAATATTTTGCCTTCACTATACAAGCAGAAGACACTCTAAGCCCGAGGCATGGGCACAATATTTGTCAGTCACGCCCATAACACATGTATGTTTTTATTGACACATCAATAATTGGATGACAGTAAACACAGCGGGATAAAAATACATTTGATGTCCTATGCACACCATAGCAAGACACATTGACCCCAAAGTTAGCACCGCGGGATTGTGTGCCTGCAACCAATACTATGGTGCTACTTTTAAGGTTTTAAGGTTATTAAAACTATTGTAACCAAAGAAAAATTAAATAACAATGCTTTAACAAGACACAGAGAAAAAATTCAAACCTGTCAGAAGATGTGAGTAGGAAGGCTGACCTTAGAAATTTGAATGACACAATATTCTCCACTGTCACCCTTTGCAAAAAAAGTGAAATGCTTTTATTATAAGAGTTAACCATTATCCTTCACTTAGTATGCACATAGTATATTTGAATTCAATCATGACAAATTACATTGCACTTATAATGTAAACCTATTTCTAATTTTGATCATAAACATGTACATAATATTATAGGTTACTAACCGAGCGTGAGGTCAAGATGGCTGTATAATTATTGGCCAAGTTCTTTCTTTCTTTTTTTTTTTTTGCATGCTTATGGACCCAAATGGAGTTGAAGTCCATAAAGTGATATTAAGCACGCAAAAAAAGAATGAGGCCAATATCCAGCCATCTTGACCAAACAAGCTTGGTCAATAAAGGATTTTAATATGGAAATAGAACACCATTTTGTTGCTGAGCACAGCAGGTCATCCGAGTGGGCAAGATAGTGTGAGATTCTGCATTTAGACTAGGTAATCATTTATGATGTGGTATTGCGTGTTGCTGGCTTTATTTTACAAAAATAAATGTAAGTTCTAGTAGTTTTGCAGCCATTTCTTGTTGTGTCCCATCGCCAGATAAGCATTCACACGAGAGAAAAATTTGGGAGAATTCAAAATCGCTTAAAATATGTGAACCCTTGCTGGCAACTCAGACTCACATATACTTCACTTGGAATTCTCCCTAACTATCTTTTGTGACTTTACCATATTTTGTTAGTAGTAATTCTAGTTGTCTAATATAAAGAAAGTGACGTTTTCTGCCTGAAATGAGTAATAATTTGTCACTAATGATAGCGTTACTGTTAGTATAATTTAAAACTTTGTTATTTTTTCAGTGATCCAGCTTATGGAGACAACCCTTCTTAATCTGGTCAACTTTGCAAGGTATGCATATATATACATCTACAATGTTTAAGGTGGCTCGATCGGGTTTTTGAGTAACAATACCATTCAACACTGAGTGACTAGAGCAGCACCATTATCAATCCAACAGAAAATCGAATGGCTTGAATATCAACTGGTGTAGGCCATTGTTTTGCTTTTTATCAAAAATTGCCCCTAAAACTCTTAAATTGGGCAGAAATTACATGTAAAAACTACTCGATGAATTTTTTTTTGAACTTGGCCCTCAATGAGATTAATCCATATTCAATGTAATACCAGAGTTTCAAATAAATTGAAACATTTTGAGGCTGCTAAATTTTCAGCGTCAACTGAGGAAAATATTGCGCGGATTTTCACTCATGTTGTTTGTTGTCTTCATTATCCTGTAATTTTCTTTTGTCTCAAATCACCATGATGCTATTTGTACATTTCTGTACATCATGAATTCATAAAACGCGTGATCGCTTTTTGGTAATTTTCCGAAGCATGCTAAAATTTGCCAAGCCAGCACTACAACAACAATAAAATATATGTCTTGTTTTTGTNGGGGGGGGGGGGGGGGGTAGGAGGGCAGGAATATTCCCTGTCGCTACACATGTACATACTACAGGTGTCAGAGTGAGTTGCTAGGTTGTTGACCTTCATGATTCCAAAAAGGTTATTTATTGTGAGTATATATATGACTGTATCAACTCCAATCTTGTCCTACTGCAGTTGATTAGCAAGCAATCATCTACCGATAAGCGATACCCTGACTGTTATTTTGTCGTGTTTTTACTCGTTTCAGCTTAGTTGCCACTAATGCATCTAGATTCCGTCTTGCTGCTGGGTGGGATAAGAGCTTAATTGAGTTTGGTTTGCGAAGATCACAGGGACCTGACGGAGGGTTGTCGGCCTCCAAGTACTGTTACATTGGAGGTGGGTGGTCAATTTGAAATAAAAACAATAACTAATGATTATAATAATAATTTTGTATTGGACTCATTCATATAACTGTTAGAACGTTTTTACTTCTTGTAAAGGCACATAAATCTGATTCTATCTATATTGAAATTAAAGTTGAAGCTGGATTTCAGTTAAATCAACTTGTTGGTTTTCTTGTTAGTACCACATACAAACTATTTATTTTAAGTTCTACATTGCCGGGCAGCAGGTGAATAAAAAGAAAAGCTTTCGAGGAAGTGCACATGCCTGGATTTAAGGCATTCATGTTATGAACATCTTCAAGAGCTAGCTTAGCGATGCGACAGTTGTATTTCAGGCTGGGGTGGAACCAGGATTTTTTAAATTATTTGAATTATTTTGTTTTAGCCAAAAAGAATGACAACTTTCACCAATTATTTTCCTCTGCCCAGTGTGATTGTATGTATTTTTTTATTATGTAACTGACTGAATACCTTTGTTTGTGCGTCTACTATAAATTGTCTTAATTTACTTATATGTCTGTTATTAACACTGTCTTTTCATCTTATTGTTTTTTTTTCCTCAGTGTGAAAATAAATTACGGTATAAGTTTTTTCATTTCCAAATTCCTAAAAGAAATTGCCTCTGACTGATTAAAGATAATTTCCAGGCCGTACTGCTAGACCCACTCTGTTTATGGATGCGAAGTGGTAGAAACTTTATGCTTCGTTCTTTCTTATATCACTTGATGAAACAACGTTGCAGCTGTAAAAATCAATGAAGCCGTTAGGAAAAGAATTTGAGAGTCCTCAAAGATAAGGAATGTCGTTCGTAACGAATAGCATCGATTCGCATTCCATCGAGTGAGCCGTTATAATGTTTATAAACCTTAGGGTGCTGAGACTGTGCAGTAAGGACTTGAAATCATCTTAAACACGGGACTTCATAAGGAAAAAGCCACGTTGACTTCAAACTCCAAATTCCATAACCCCTTTTAATATACAGTATTTTCTTTCAAACCTATCACAGGATTTGATGGTACAAGCAATGTCTTAGCAGGGAAGTTATGTGGTATTCCTGTCAAGGGAACACAAGCACATGCTTTCATCACATCATTCACACCTGATAAAATGCCACATGTCGACAAGCTGCAGCCTGCAGATTCAAGTCAGGAACCTAGAGACTTTTATCCAGTCGTGTTAGACTGGCTTAAGAAAGTATCACCGGTATTGCGTGTTTTGGAGAGCGAAGTTCATCTTGGTGAACTGGCGGCCTTTTCAGCTTATGCTGTTGCTTTTCCCGCGGCGTTTTTGGCACTGGTAGATACCTATGTTGTCATGAGGTACTGTAAGGTTATGGACTGTTTGGGAAGGTTATATGGGAAAAGATTTGGCTGTAGGTTTACCATGTAAGGTGTGGTCAAGGTGTTACAAATCTAAGCAAAATGTAAGAAAGTTTTTGTGTGAGTACCCAGTATCGAATCATTTGACTTTTGATAGGCTTGAATTGAGGGAAAACCTTTTTGTTGTTCTCAAACCGTTGTTTTTCACTCATCTTTCTTTGCACTGCTCCCTAAACTGAATTCATGCCTAGAGTAGAGTCCGCTAAAAACACAATCGTTTTTAGAGTTTCTTCAATTTAAAACTGATATGATTTCCAGCAGAAAAGATTTGACTGGCTTTGAGGGGTGTTGGAAATTTGATGAAAGGCTCTCTCTCGTGTTTGGTGTACGTATCGTCTTATTCGGAAGAAAAACTAAGGAGAAGAATGAATTATTAATTTCATAGACATTTATGCTATAGCCATGCTACGCCGGGTTGCTCAAATCCCGATCAAGCTAGCCCAGGATTAGCGAGAATTATTATTTCAGTTCAGTGTATTTTTTCGGTGAACTTTTCAGTTCCTATTGTTTGTCCTTTTAGTTTTGAGCTTGAGTTATCTCAGACAACAACAGCAACAACCATTTTAGTTTGCTTAATACATAGAATATGATATAAGAATATATATGTGTTGTAATTCGGAGGTCCCAGGTTCAAGGCCTCCACACTGCTACCAGCGAGATTTGTTTCTCGGTAGTCCCGAGTTCAAATCCTCAGTCACGCTTTGTAAATAGCCAACATAGTTGGGATTTTAAACTATGTTACGTTTATTTGAAATATCTGTTTCCTTTGTTTCAGTGGCATGCCTGTAAACTAGCCAAGCTTAGTGCTTGTATAGCTAAGTGACCACTATATACCACTAATTTACATTTACATTTTTACAATTACATTTTAATTTATAAAACACAATACTTTGGTAAATTTTTAATGCGGGGTCAGCGTTAAACAGCTTTCGAACAACCCGGCCCTGATTTATTGTTCTGCACATGTTTAGGAGCGGTATGCCAGGTTTCTATGCGGTCGCTTTGGCTCTGAATGATTTTGGTTACCAAGCTGTCGGAGTAAGGATTGATTCAGGAGATTTAGCGTACACATCGTTACAATTAAGAAAAGCACTGGAAAAAGTGGCAGAAGTGTAAGTATAAATATCATATTTATATGGTAACCAAGCCGAGAGTGAAAATAATGCACTGTACTTGTACATATAGAGCATTTACATCAGAAAAGAGTTCAGCTCAACTCCCACAAAATTGGTTTGGTACACCAACATGGTCGCCGTTTCATTGTTTTGGGACGCCAATATGGCTGCCGTGAAAATGTATTTTTTAAAATCTTTCCTGGATGAATCTGGAAAGAAGATTATGGGTGCTAAAATCTTACTAGAGTGTTCCCAATGAATCTCCATGCAAGCTATTTCATATTATTAATTATTTGTTTTTCATCAAGGTTTGGTCTACCCTGGTTTGCAAAAAGAATTATTGTCGCCAGCAATGACACCAATGAGGATACGCTCTTTTCGCTCAATCAACAGGTACACTGCAAGACAGTCGTATTTATGAATTATTGATGATTCGAGAATTACCGGTTCCATGAAGGGCCCGTCCACATTACGCTGGAGGAATTTGAAAACGCAGCTTTATTTCTACGGTTAGGCCTACCGTCCACAATAATCCGTCACGAAAATGGAGCTTTAGGAAAACGCTCTTCAAACCGGAGGAATTTGAAAACGCCGGCTTTGCGTTTTAGTGTGGACGGAAAACATTTTGAAAACGGAGCTTTTTGAAAACGATGACAGCACAAGAACATGTGATTTTCCTGTCCGAGTTTTCCTGAAACACAAATCCAATATGTCCGGTGATTATTGCAGCTTTTTGGGTTTTCAAATATCTCTGGCATAGTCTTCGGCGTAGTGAAGACGGAGCCAAAGGCAAAGGCTAACATATAAATACTTTCTTTTTCTCCCATATTCACTCACATGCGTTGTTTTTTCTATTTCTTTTGTTTCTTCACTGTTTCAGGGTCATTCCATAGATTCTTTTGCAATGGGCACTCATCTTGTAACATGTCAGAAGCAGCCTGCCTTGGGATGTGTTTTTAAGATAACAAAAGCTTGTTTTCAAACCTGAGCTACATGAAGTATTTTTCACGTCATTTTCTGATGAGCTTGAAAAACTTCAAAGAAAAAAANAATATCATATTTATATGGTAAACAAATCTACAGTGAAAAGAATGTACTATACTTGTACATATAGAGCATTTACATCAGAAAAGAGTTCAGATCAACTCCCACAGGATTGGTTTGGTACACCAACATGGTCGCCGTTTTATTGTTTTGGGACGCCAATATAGCTGCCGTGAAAATGTATTTTTTTAAACCTTTCCTGGATGAATCTGGAAAGAAGATTATGGGTGTTCCCAATGAATCTCCAAGCAAGCTATTTCATATTATTAATTATTTATTTTTCATCAAGGTTTGGTCTACCGTGGTTTGCAAAAAGAATTATTGTCGCCAGCAATGACATCAATGAGGATACGCTCTTCTCGCTCAATCAACAGGTACACTGCAAGACAGTCGTATTTATGAAGTATTGATGATTCGAGTCCACGCTACGCCGGGGAAATTTGAAAACGCAGCTTCATTTCTACGGTTAGGCCTACCGTCCACACTAATCCGTCACGAAAACGGAGCTTTAAGAAAACGCTCTTCATACCGGAGGGATTTGAAAACGCTGGCTTTGCGTTTTAGTGTGGACCGAAAACATTTTGAAAACGGGGCTTTTTGAAAACGATGACAGCATAAGAAACGTGTGATTTTCCTCTCCGAGTTTTCCTGAAACACAAATACAATATGTCCGGTGATTATTGCAGCTTTTTGGGTTTTCAAATATCTCTGGCATAGTCTTCGGCGTAGTGTGGATGAAGCCAAAGGCAAAGGCTTGCATACAAGTACTTTCTTTTTCTCCCATATTCACTCACATTCGATGTTTTTTCCATTTCTTTTGTTTCTTCACTGTTTCAGGGTCATTCCTTAGATTCTTTTGGTATAGGCACTCATCTTGTAACATGTCAGAAGCAGCCTGCCTTGGGATGTGTATTTAAGGTAACAACTGCTTGTTTTCAAACCTGAGCTACATGAAGTATTTTTCACGTCATTTTCTGATGAGCTTGAAAAACTTCAAAGAAAAAAGAATAAACCGGGATTGTTATAGATTGCTGTCTTCCTCCCTTACGAGGGGACGGGGAGGGTGGGGTGGGGGAGGGATTGCATGAGGAGCCCAATCTGCGTAGGAGGCTAGGATTGTTTACGATTGGGAAAGATTTAGATGGAATTGAAAAAGTTGGCCCTGTTTTTAAGCTTCGCCATCCGTGTTGCAGCTCCTTCTTTGTGATAACAAGGTCTTTGCACATCTCTGTAAGAGCGATCATGCCGAAAAATCTCGCTCCAGCCGTCGTTTACGTCCGTTTTCTCTCATAGGCATGGCACCTTCACACTATTTTCATAATGATGAATATTCTTTTCATATCGCTAGTTTGCTAGTAAAAAGTGAAGCTTGGGGGAGGGGAGTTTAATAGCTGGGCTGACATGTTTTTCTGTTTATGTCTTCCTTCTTTATTGTGCAGCTTGTGGAACTAAATGGCGACGCACGAATGAAACTGAGCCAGGATATCGAGAAAGTCACCATACCTGGAAAGAAAGACGCCTATCGGTTATATGGTGGAGACGGTACAGCACTTTAACAGCTCTTTTTCATTCGTTCTCGTTAATCTGCACCTCACTGCACATGTATGGCGTTTTATTTTTCCAGTTATGAAAAGCTTTGGAAATGGTGCAGGTTGCTCCGTAAGGATTTATGTGTAACTATAAATTGATGCCAGGGTCTACCGGTCGAGACAAAAAAAAAATGGTTGCTTAATATCGCTAGGTTCGATTTCCGCCGCTCTCGCTTGTGAGCTCTGCATCTTTTCACCTTCCTTCGGGAGAGGCACGTGGGCTCCTCGTCCAAAGAGCGGCTGATAATCAAACCAATGGTATCGTTCATCGTTCATTTGATCCTGATGCAGATCATCCCAAAGAAACGCACCTAACTTTCGTGGTTGTCATGTACTTTCTTTCTTTCTTTCTTTTTCTTTTTTGTTTTTTTTTTCAGGCGGAGCTCTTCTAGACCTAATGATAAGATGTGACGAGCCGCCGCCTTCTCCAGGAAAACGCGTCCTATGTCGGCATCCATTTGACGAGGCAAAGCGTGCATATGTCTGTCCGTCCCATGTGGAGCCACTGTACCATGTCTACTGGAAGGACGGCAAGGTAAAGTTGTATATTTTAAATGCAAAATCATGATACAAAATCACGTAAATACCGTAAATCCTCGAATTAGCGCCCGGGGCGCTTATTTCAAATGTAGGAGAAGATGGGNTTTTTCATTCAGTGAAGGATAAATTAAATTCTTGGTTGTTGCGAAATTCAATGTCTATGTACGAAAGAGAGATTTTCAGGCTGCTAGAATCAGTTCCTTGGTGTTTTCTAGCCATGTCATAACTCAGCAAGTGTCCCAAGTTCAAAATCTCACGATCCATAGTTAACTACTCATGGCTGAGAAATAGTATTTCCATCTTATTTTTTAACTTTGTTTGTTTCTGTTTTGTTTTCTTCCAGGTTTCGTTGAGTGACAAATTGTATACATTTATGCACCAGCTCTGGCTAAACCACGCTCCAATTGGAGAATTGTTCTAAGAAGGAAAACTGATATTTAATATACAAACTCACCCTCACCTAGTAATATATTAGCATCACTTCCAGAACTTTAGAAAGCTGCCGCTGTGCAGATCGTCTGAAAGCGACCTGTCTTAATAAGCAACCGTCTTAATTCGCGCGTTTTTATTTTTCCCTCGAAATATTTTTCGATCTTCGCCCTGCAAATCCATGTCATGTCCCTATTTGGTTGTTATTTACGCGAGAAATTAATTTGAAGAACCCAGCAACAGAAAACGCAATTCATCGTCAGATTTCCAGCGCTATGTAGGTCATATATGCAATTAAAAAATAATAACTGTGGTAATTGTATTGTTGGATGTGATCTTAATTCTAGATGTAAAAACAAAAAACCTGAGGGGAGGCCTACTGAAATTATTTTTATATTGGCGTAACCGTAAACTGTGATCGAGCAAACTTTGCTCAGTCTAGTGAAGTTGTGTCAACTCTCAGTCAAGGAAAATATCTTTCTCAACTCAAAACTAAATTAAATTCGGTTCACAGAGCATTAGTATTTGAAACTGAGAACATATTGTTAAAGGGACACAGTCACGAAATATTTGCTTAAAACTGTTATAAATTCACGAAATGGTCCCAATATATATGTAATAAAATTAGCTTTAACTAAATGATCAAAAGCAATTTCTTGAAGAATGTCCACATTGTAGCAACATTTTTGCAAAATTTCAACGATTTTCGAGCCAAATTTGAAACTTTAAAAAACTGACATCCTGACGCTTTTTAAAAAACCCATATCACACAATCCGTTTCTATCCTCGCCATCGTTAGCCATCCTCACTTCCTAATGGGTTGTAATCATTTGTCGAGAACTACCCTACAAGATAAAACCATTATTGTTCAGCTGCCAAAGATCGATATATGTTTTTGAGATTTCTCAAATCATGCTTAAATGGTGGCAATGTCCCTTTAAGTCCACTTGTCGGAAATTAGGCGGTGTTCATTAAAATAAGGGCGCTTATTGGTCTAGCAGCTCTTATTATAAAGATACTTCGAGGGGGGAGGGGGGCACGAAGAAAACAAGACATTATGTCTTCGTACAGTGGTAGAAACGATTTAACGACCATTAGTTCGTGGTGGTTCGATATAAAAGCTTTTAAATCCGATATGCGCAGTGGAATCCCGGTTTTTCGAGCCCGTCGATGATTCGAAGCAATTTTGGTTCCTAGGAGAAATGGATCCAGTTTGATTTTTCGAACCACTTTCTCTCCCCAGAAGGATACAAAATCAGGATTATGCTGCAGATTTCTTCTTCGAGCCTCTTCAATACTGAAATCTCGAGTGCAGATCAAGGAATCCCCGGCAGAAAGTAAAGCTGGTGCTTTTTCGGATTTTCATGTCAGCAGTTTATCAGACGCTTTGAACAGCGAAAACTCGATTCTCTTTCGTTATGCCAGAATGTTGAAAAGGCGCATTTATCAGTGGTGAAAATAGGTTTGTAGATCATCCATGCCTGTTTACTATTTCATGCGAGTTAGTTTTCGTTGCACTTTCGAGAGGGAAAGCGCATGCCGAAACAATTTTTCATGGTAACGAGTGTTTTCCTAGAAGTCAGCTGCGAAAATCATTTCCCCGTTTGTCGTTTATCCGTAGTTCACATAGATTAGCGAAATAAACCTTGTGTTTGTTTAGATGACTAACCGAATTTCGCAAAATCGTGGGTTGTTTAAATGAAAACGAGAAATGTCTTGGGAAGCGGTAGAGCACTCACGAAGTAGAGAGAAACACGACTATATCTCGTGTTTTCCCCACACTTTCTTTCGTGCTCTACCGCTTTCTACGTGCTTTACAACGGAACAGAGCACAGTCAAGAATGTCGTTTTTCCGCCCTAGGCTGAATTTTCTTATTTTTCTGCCGATTTTAGGCTGGAAATATTATTGTGAGTGTTCTTAGATTTTATCGTATATGGCATTTCTGTTTTCGAATGTATTTGGTGTCTGGATGGTGTTGAACTAATTTTAGAGCCACTCTGCAGAAATTAAAACCTGATATCACGCAGATAACTTTTTGCAGAAATGTTATTAGCATCTAACATATGGCTAGTGTTGTAATGTTGCTTTTTCGCTAGTTCTGCCGTTTAGAGGTGAAATAATTTTAAACAGTTTAGTTAACAACTTATAAATTTTGTATTGTTTTCGCGTGACGTGACAAAAAGTACGGGCTAATGGAGAGCATGATAAATTAGATCGGGTCACGATTTTACCCGTATACGGCTTTGTCGAACTTTGGCATAGAATAGAAAATCATAATATGCATGAAAACGGCAAACTGATGAGTAAACAGTGATACAACCGCAGAAACCAAAAACGTTTCCAAATTTATTGCGGACACTTCAAAACTCCAGCAAATAAAAGTACTGAAAATTTCAAGAGGTATATGTAAGCTTAAAATGTTTAGCATATTTTAATCGTCGTTAGAGCCTTAATCAGAGCATCGTTAATAGAAGGAAATGGTTATGAAAACTAGCAAAGTTCTTTGTTGTATGTTTTTGTTGGCTATTTTGGGTGTTGATCCTGCACAAAACTAGGCGAAATACAAAGGTGGTTATGTGTGATCATACAACTAACCAATGGAAGCATTGCGATTATGTAATCATGCATAGTCAGTCAGGAGCATAAAACAAAAAGAAGTGCACAGCAGGGTCAAGGATCATCCAACGTAAATCTCACCCGATTTGTTTGCTTCTTTGTTTGCGGGGCTTCTCAACCATTTCCCTCTATTAACTATGATTAAACAGATGTCGCTCTTCTCGTACCAGTTTCTCAAGATCTGAGGCACATTAGTCGGGCATTCGAGCCGAAACTAAACGTGTTTTATAACATGTGTAAAAGCGACTTGGATTGACTGTAGTCTTAACAGACGACTGATTGCGGTAATGCTACATCGTAGTAAAGAACTGGTCCAAAAACTAGCATCCGAAAAGAAAAAAAA